TTATTATGTGCCTGCCGTAATACGTGGAAAAAAATTTTATTTTCATTTATTATTCGTTTACTTGAATTGCATAATTTTAGTTTAAAAATCGTATGAATTATCATGAGATATACAAATTCTTAAATCGTATAAAAATTATTTATAAGAAAAATTAATAATAAATGGAGCTTAAAAACGGTTGAAAGTATAGTTTTTTCATTTGTAATCGAGAACGAGAGTGACTTTAGACATACAGGATGTTACAAAGTTCAAAAAAAAAAAAAAATATATATAATTTACGGCGAATTGATGACAATCTCGTGCGTTCAATTAGAGGGAAAATAAGAGTACATTTAAATTTAAATAATATCGTTTGTAGTAACGCAAAGTAAAGGTACCATCTCACATTGAGAAAAAGCTATTGTATTACTCTTACCTATTGATTTCTTTCGTAAATATAATTTAAAAATTTCAAAAATGAGCGTCGCAGTAAAATAGGATGATTTTATTATAAACTCATTGAGTAATATACATTTTGAATTTAAAATAATAATTTTTCACGTACAATCTAACTGTCCAAATATACGCAAAAAAATAACCCTTGCTCTATAGCGACAAATAATAATACTCTGTTTTTTATAAACAACTTTTGCCTACAAATAAATTTTTCATTAACTAGAAATGACTAAATAGCCGATAAGCTATATAGGTTTAAAAGAAAAAGCATACGCTTTACATGACTGATCGGACGCGCACAAGTTCGTGTCAGTGCTTCGCAAGTTTTATCATTCTTTACAATAAAAAAAAAAAAAAAAAAAAAAAAAAAAAAAAAAAAAAATATTGAAAAATAAAAGCTCTCTATTTGCTTACTTGGCGAATTTTCGTAGACGTATATTTATGCGTATGTCCAACTATTCAGCATCATTTAATTTTGTCATTGAAAAAGCGATTACAGTGTGATAGTGATAGACTAATGGAGCTTGATATGAATTTCTGACTCGATTAAAAAAAAAAATAAATAAATGTGAATAAAATTTTATCGTACGTGCATTTAGTATTAAACGAGATCAAATCAAGAGAGTGAACAGACGTACGTACTATTACTTTTTTGAGTGTGCATATAAATGTGTAAAAGTTGCAAATAAATTCGTTGGAGTTATATGATAATCGAAATTTGTACTTCAAACAAATACGGAAATAATAAAAAAACAACTAAAGAAATACATTATCACCCGACTGATGTAAACCAATAAGTAAATATAATTGTCCGAAAGTTGATGTATGAAATATGAATATATATTGCTCGTTTAGAACTTTTTTTTCAATCTCAAAATACGCGTCCTTTGTAAACGGAATCAATGTAGGTAAGCTCGAAGTTTCTTTGTATAAATATAGACTTGCGGTTAAAATTATGAAAGAAAATTAGAATTATAATATGTACGAGAAATTTACGAAAACATTAATAACAAAATAATGTTTTGTATAAT